TTTCTTCAAATTCACAAATTAAATGAGTTAAGTACAAATTTAAGGGTGGAATTCATTACCTACAAGTCTCAATTCTCAAGTATAATACTATAATCTTCCTAGTTCCTTCCAATTCCTCCTAGTCTCTAGCACTTATCCTACAATTGAGCTCAAATTCCACCCCTTTCACTCTCACACGTTTTTGTCACCAATGATGAAGACATGAGAGTGTAAAATGTGAATGAGAGTCCACTAATGCCTTATATAGGCTAAATTAATGGTTTAATTAAATGGTTGATCAAATTTCTCAATTAGACATTAAATTATCCTAATTAAATCATTCCGAATTAACTTTCAATTGAACCCTCCATAAAATTCTAAAAATTCCAAATAACACATAAATCAAGTCAATTTTGGAATCGAGTGCTAATAAGGCCTTCAATTTTCAGAACAGAGCAGAATAGAAATACAAACAGATATTTATATGACAAACAGATAGAAACATAATTAATGCAACACATATGCAATCAAGTCAGAATTCAATCTTAATTACTCATTAGCATCCTTAATCATGGCTTAAAAGCTATCCATAGGTCGGGGTTGTTACATATATATATAGAGAGAGAGAGCATACCAACTGTGATAATGGTGGATAAGACAGCAGAAATAGTAATTACATTGTCTCTTCTTCTTCTTCTTTGTGGGCTTTGTTAGGGTTCTTTGGAAGTGAGGTTTTTTGGGGATGTGGGGGTGTGTATTCAATGGGTGAAATATTTTTACAAGGATAATTTTGGTATTATTTGGAAGAGAAAAAGAAATTTTAAAGGTTTCAAAATTTATAAGTGGGGATCCAAAAAAATAGAGGGTCTAAAATAATTCATAGAGTGCTAATAGCACCACTCGTCTAATGTGTCATAATGAAATTAATAAACAACTCAATACAATGACAAACCCGATAATAGGTGAAAATTAATCAACTTAGTATTTGACAAGAATCAACTCCCATGATTTTTCAATTAAGAGTATATGAATGACCGACTTGTTTTAAGTTGTTTAAAGTAGGAATTGGCCTAATAGTCAAGACTTGGGACCTAGAGTGTACTCATTCTATGGTTTAAAGTTCGAAATCTTCTACGTGTAGATAATTTTTTGAGACAATCTATATAAAATTTGTCACAACTTTAATTAGACCTTTATTAGTGGATGGTAGAATTAATTCCCAAATTAATTCTTGTCAAAAGAAGGGGAAAATAAATAAATAAATAAAACATAATACTTGTCAAACGGAGCCAATTGTAAGGGTGTCAATCTAGCCCATCCCGACCCATGTCGGGCCTTACGGGCTCCCGCCAAAATTCGGGCTGGCTCAAGGGCCAAAAAATTAGGCCTAGGCCCAGGCCCAGGCCCAAGGGTATTCGGGCCTTGGGCATGTCGGTGGGCCTGGGCCTAGCCTCGGGCTTGGGCGGGCCTAACTTTTTTTTTTTTTTTTTTAATTTTTTCTACCAACATCTTATTATTTTTCACTAAAAAAGACGCTGGGCTCAGACAGGCCGAGCCTTGAGTGGGCCTTAGGCGGGCCTATGGGCTGGGCCACGAGTCAGGCCAGGCGGGTTGGGCCCACGGGACGAATCGGGCTTCAAAATAAAGGCCATGGCTTAGGCCTAAGGGCTCAAGCAGGCTTCGGGCTGCTCACGGACTACGGGCCATTTTTACACTGCTAGCCAATTGTGGCAAAGGCTGGGACATAACTTTGTTAATGGAGTCATGGGAAAACACACGCGCACAACCAATAAATAAATAAAAAATAAAAATAAAATGATGATGACACATAATACTTGCCAAGTGGAGCTAATTGTGGCAAAGTATGACAGCTAAAATGATTTTTTTTTTTTTTTGATAGGTAAAAAAATAATTTTAAAAAAATAAAATAAATCATTGAAAACAAAAGTATTAGTTATGTTGTATTTGCTTAGGAGATTTGGGAAAAGATTTGAAAATGAACATGGAAAAGGAAAGTGAAATGTGGATAAAATATACCTACATTTCACCTAATTTTACATATTTTTTTTCTTTATTTTTCCAAATTCCCCAACCAAATACACCATTAGGAAATTTCGTCATCACTTGAGACAAATATTATTAAAATGATCACAATTTTATATTATATTTAAGGGGGAGAACCTAATCAAACTAGTGTGTAGTTGGCTTGTGTTGGATCTTATTTCGGATTCATCTCAATGATTCAAATCGTTCAATGTATAAGAACCGTCTAATATATCATATTTGTAAAAAATCACATTGATAGTTATTGATAGCCACTTGGACATTATATCAGTATCTACGGTTTTAAAAATAAATTGTTGACACAAATATAATCTAATTAAGTAGATATTCATATCTAATCGATGTGATTTTTTTTTTTTTTTTTGTAAATATAACATACTTGACACCCTTGCATATTAAATTATTGTTCAATTATTTGGATTATCGAAATGTGTTAAATATATTACTCCCTCCGTCCCAAAATATTAGTCCCTTATTCCATTTTTCATTGTCCCAAAATATTAGTCCCTCTTAAAAAATCAAGTACAAAAATAATGTAAAATTCCTATTTTGCCCTTCTTTTAAATTAATAAACAATATAAAAAGTACAATTATGACATTAATATTCTCAAAAAATGTACTATCAAAAGGGTCATTTTGATAAATTAACTTTTTTCAAATGCAATAATTGTACTACCAAAAAAAAGTTGGATTCCCCAAAAGGGACCATTATTTTGGGACGGAGGGAGTATAAAAATGTGATGTCATCAGAGGTGAACCTTGTCAAAAAAATAGGGTAAATTATACTTTGTACCCCTACACTTTTCACTAAATCTCACTTTGGTCTCTACATATGAAATCATAATGGTTAACTCCCTATACTTCTGGTCAAATCTCACTTTGGTTCCTACACATGAAATCGTGACAGTCAATCCCATGTACTTTTACTCAAATCTCACTTTGGTCCCTACACAAATGTTAATATCTCTCTTCTATTACTTCATTTTTAAATTTTTAACAAAATCCAATCATGTGATAAAAATATAGCTACGAAATTAGGGTAAGAGAGGAAAATTATCTATGTTTTCCATTAATATACTTTGTCTTACGCAATAAGTACGTAAAAGTTATATAATACAATATATATATGTTCGAATGCTAAAAATTGGGATGAAGGGGTAAGAAAATAGAACTTTTGAAATAAAAAAAAAATGAGACAAAGAAATCAAAGAGAAAGGAAGATCAATATACAGAAGATTGTGTTACTGTGAAAAACAGAGTTTCGTGATTCCAATTTATACAAAATCCTAGTTCATCTTCTTAATCGTTCACAATCTTTGTTTTGTTTTGGCCTAATACAGTTATAATTTGATGTGAATTTTGAGACAACGTGTGTACTGGTGGAAAATGTAGAGGATTTTTCTCTCTTATCCTTATGTCGTAGTCACATTCTTATCACATGATTAGATTTTGTTAAAGATTTAAACAATTGAGTAACAGAAATTGGACATTAACACTTGTATAAAGACCAAAATGAGATTTGACAAAAAAAAAAATGCAAGAGGTTGATTGTCACAATTTCATTTATGAAAACCATAGAGGGATTTGACCAGAAGTGCATGGAGTTGACTGTCATGATTTCATGTGTAAGAACCAAAATGAAATTTGATGCAAAGTGTAATTTACCTGAAAAAATAATTGTAACTACATCTATAGATTTTTGTTATATTTAAATATATATATATATATATATATATATATATATATATATTAAACAGGTGGTTTTTTAGCGTGGTTAGAGTTTTTCAAAAACACTTTTTAGAAAATTATACTTTCTTGTTTTCCGTGTTTTTTTGTTTTTACTGAACTTTTTTAATATTTTAAGAATTTTTTTTTATTTTTAGACATACCTAACATAAATATACCTAAAAAATAAAAAAAAATTGTAAAAAAACCTTTTTAAAATTCACTAAATACCAAAAATACAACAAAAAAATACGAGAATTCAGTATATTTTTTATATTTTTATGTTTTTATTAATTTTTTAAAATATTTTTTCACAAATTTTTTACTTTTTAGATACATCTAAGTAAGGTGCATCTAAAAAAATAAAAAAAAAATTTAAAATTTTAAAAATATTCACTAAATACAAAAAAAAAACACACACAAAAAAAAAAAAAAAATTTTCATAAAATTGAAACCAAACAAACATGATCTATATATTTTTGTTATATTTAAAAATATATATATATATATTTAAAAAGTTGACATCTTTGACAAATTATACTTCTTTTTTTGGGCATCACACTGTTTTTAATAATAATCTATGAACAAATTAATTTAGTATGAACATCAAATTGAAAATGTGTAAAGCTAATGATTTTTAAGAGTTTATTTATTTATTTATTTATTGACTCAATTGTAAAAGTAAAATCGTAACTATCAATTATAGTTTTAAAAATTAGATTAGATCGGCCGTTCAACAGGTTGACCAGCCCAATTTCTGGTCTGAGTTACCTCACATTGCCGTTTGTATTGAAAACTAGATTTGGACCAATTGAACCGATGACCTGCTTGTACCACCCGTCTATTGAACCGTTGGGTTGACAACAATATTCAAAAAAATTCGAACCTCCAACGTTTTGCAATGTATTGTAAATGCTAACCACCAAACTATTCATGCACCTGTTGCTTCTAATGCTACAACAATTGTATTATAAATTTGTAAGTTTGTTTATTATATATATACTCTCTTTTTTTTCCCTTGAACTTAATTTTTTTTTTTTACAAATATATTATAAAATTATTTATGACATAATTATGACATTACAATTTGATTTGGTTCACTCGCAGTTGAACCAATAATTCATCCACCGATCACTTTTCAAGTGCGCTCACTAGTCTAATTTTCAAAACATTGTTATCAACCATTCGCTACACAATTACATTCTGCACTACACAATTACATTTCGCACACATAATACATAGAATACACGCAATTACATTTCACTGTCCAATTTTCAAAACATTGTTATCAACCATTTGCTACACAATTACATTTCGCACACAATGCATAGGATGCATATCTGTCCTATATTCTGTCTCATATTCATCACAGATTGCCATATCAAAATCAATGAGTAGAAGAATTGGGGTGAAACAGATGATTTCACACCCAATGTGTATGGCACCGCTTCTAGTGTTGAATAATATCAAGTGCTAGATTGTTCAAATCTGACATAGATATGTTACTAAAACTTCTTTTTTAACATTAAAAAGAAGGATCATATTGCACAAATTATAAACTTCATGTGCAATGATCAGATGGAAGTTCAAGAACCAACATATCAAGGCTCATGAAGCAACACACACACACACACACAAAAAGCAGTCCATTTTATTGCATTTTCCTAAAAAAAAAAATATATCCTACATTCTCACACTTCATTCTTCTCTCATCAATGATTTGAACTCTGAGGCAGCCTGAAGGAACCCCCAGCATAAAGCATCTCGTAAACCGGCTTGATTCGCTTTGTTAGAACTACACTCAGGACGGTGCCCATGGCACACACACCGGCCAAAACGATGAAGGTAAGCCTAAAGCAATTTGGGCCCAAGCAAGAAGTACCGTGCTGCTTCGCTGCCTCGCTATCATATACGAACCCTGCAAGGACACCAGAGAAGAGGAGAGCACCGAGAGGATTCCCGAGCGACATGAAATTGAAGATTATCCCAAAATGCTTTAATCCGAAAAGCTCAGAGGCGGTTGGGACCATAATGGAAAACTGAAAGCCATAGCACATTCCAAGTACTGCTGTTGCGACGTAGAGTGTACCATCAAGAGCAGAAGCAAAGAGAAGGTATGTAATGATCATTATGATTTGTGTGAATGTCATCCAAATTGTCCTAGGGATAGTTTTTGACCTGTAAAATAGGAAAAACCAACAAGGAATAAATAGGAATTACCTAGAGATTGTATTACGTAGGAATCAATCGACAAGGAATAATGGGTTATCTCACTTGACAAAATGTTCGGAAACAATGCCGCCGCCAAGCCGACCCACAAAATTGAAAAAGCTGAATAGAGATAACAGGACGGTTGTATCTTCTGCACCTTGAGCTATTCCTATCTGAGCCAAGTTGTTGAGAACGGTAACACCCGAACCAACACCGGCGAAATAAACAAAGAACAGAAGCCAGAAATCAGCCTTCACTATAGCTTCACGGAAAGTGAAATCTTCCCCTCTTTTGGGCCGTCTCTTCTTCTTCACCGCACCCTCTCCCTCAGCTAGAAGCATATCCACCTCCGAAACACTGTCGTTCTCATGAAAACTTCCAATATTTGTTGTTGATGTAGATGGGGTGAGCAACGGTTCCAATTTGTCCACATCACCTTCTGCTTGAATAAGTTGGTCAGAAGACCCTACTGGTCGACCAAGTGTTCCTAACTTACTCCGATTTGAGGGATATAATGTCATCTTTACAGGGATAGCAAGTGGAGCCATGAGAAGAAGAACCATTATGACAAGAAAAGTATAGGAAACAGTATCACTCAAAGGAATAAAATGACTCAATACTGTGGTCGTGAGAAGATAGAAGCCAAGCAAAACACTGGCCACTTGCATGAAAAGAAAATGGCCACACTCAGCAAAGTCTTCCCCGGAAGCGGGGGTACAAGGTTTAACAGCATACATCATTACAATACATAAAGTTGGGATCCCAAGAGTGAGAAAGAGCAAGAGCTTGGCAGAGGAATTGTGAAGCAAGATGCCGAAAATTTCCGGGTACACTGTAGCACTCAGCCCTGCATAACCTTTGAGAATACCAGCGACAGTGCCCCGACTGACAGGAAAGTTTCTCATGTTTGTTACAAGCACGGCTGTGCCAAGCCAAGCACCGCTATTGGTGGCAACACAAAGTGCAAGCCATAACTGTCATTCAATTAAAAATTAGACATTGTCAGTAGAAAATTTCTTAGGCGATCGACCAAAATGAAAATTCAAGGTAAACTGCATGGAAGAGGATGTTTGTTAAGTGCATATATACGACACGTCTAGTAAGAATGATTTGATTATATAGATGGAAGAACTCAAGTATTCCAGAAACTGTGACTATCTCATGTTCTGCTGTAATTTTCTAGTGTGCATATATGTGCAAAGAAATAGGCATTAAAAAGAGATCCACATAACCAATTAAGGTCTCTTGGAGCCTAAGTGTGAAACACATGTCTGAGGTGCCACACGCCTAAGAGTGCGCCGTTTAAAACATTCTGTCTACCCATGTTCAATGATCATTTGGGCATTTAGGAAAGAGTCCCACTTTACCGACATGGAAAAACGTGCAGTAGTGCTTGTCGCGTCGCTTCGTCGACAAAATTATAACGCAGTATTTGTATTCATCATTTTTCATGCTCTCTATTTCTTTTGCATGATGCAAGGAACTGTTGTACTGGTCCAACACACACACACACACACACACACACACACACACACACACACACACACACACACACACACACACACACACACACACACACACACACACACACACACACACACACACACACACACACACACACACACACACACACACACACACACACACACACACACACACACACACACACACACACACACACACACACACACACACACACACACACACACACACACACACACACACACACACACACACACACACACACACACAAAGGAAAGAAAAAAGAGAAAAATAAACACTGGCCAAAATAAAGTAAAATAAAATAAAATCAAGAGAACGACAAGGGCAGTGTAAGGTGTGGTCCTCTGTTTGCATGATCTTTAACTTCTAGTTGATACTTTTCAGTTCTTGCTAGTTCATTTTCATGCATCCTAAATTCACAAAATGACTTTTCATTTGAGAAGGGGTGTTTGTAAGTGTAAAAACCAGAGGCAGTGAATTATTTATATAACCTTAGGGGTAGTTGTATTACTCAGGAGTTCTTAGGTTAGGCAACTGTCCTTTGCCCATAAATTAAGTGGGATAGACATGGGATTGGTAAATGCCAAATCAGGCCTAGCCTTGAGATTTCCGGGGCCCAAAGCCGATAATCAACTAATAAATTTCTGAGGCCCTTCACATTTTTTTTTTCATTGAATGAAAAAAAAAAATTTTGAAAGTAAAGAACAAAAGATTTGTGTCAAAATCACAAAATACATTTAGCATTACATTACAATAACTAATAAGTATCGCTTGATCCTCACTCTTCTTGTATTTTTAGAAGTAAATAAGTCAATTATACTTGCATAATCTAATTTTTTTGCAAAATCATTTTCAATGAATAACAATGCTAACTATTTTAAATGGGCCTTTCAATTTTTTAATGGATTAATTTATTTTAAGTTAATTTGGGCCTTCCTTAATTTTTTTTGGACTTAAAATATACTTCATATATTACACTAAACTGTAATAAGAGTGACCCCCTTTTTGGGTCTATTTTCAATGGATAACAATGTTAATTTTTTTGAATGACCTTTCAATTTTTTAATGGGTCAATTTATTTTAAGTTAGTTTGGGCCTTCTTTTTATTTTTTTAAACTTAAAACATACCTAATATATTACACTAAATTATAATAGGAGGAGGCCCTTTTTTTGAGCCAATTTTGAGGGGCCCTAGGCTATGGCCTTGTGGCCTATGCCCCAGGGCCGACCCTGTGCCAAATGACAAATGTAACCAATCAAGACCAAGAGGTTTTTCATTGAGCCAAAAAAATGATTTTCAATATTAAGATTTCCATTGAACAAGAATGAACAGGAGGAGGGTGTTGATACGGTTAAGCTCGGCACCCAACAGTGGCATAGATAAGTAAATCGTGAAAGGTAATGCTGCTTTAAAAATGAAATTGAACAGAATAGTGAAACAAAACTGTAACTGTTGAGTGGAACTGTTTTTGTAGATATTGGGGTGCCAAAGTGTTGGGGATCAGGGATCCCGCCCAAGACCTTCTAGAAATTATACCAAGCAAAAAAACACACACACAGAAGGAGACCATATTTAACGTGATTTGGCCTTAAAGCCTACATCCACAGGAGAGTAACCGGTTATCACTATAATAATAGAGAGATTACAGAAAGATTACAATAGAGGAGGAGCTCACACTATCCTCACTCACCCATTCACCCGTCTCCCTCGCTCACACCGAGTGAGACAGTCTCGCTGCCTCACATCTCTCACTCTCTCTTTGGTTTGCTCTCTTAGTTCTCTCTATCCATCTCCTCCTCCTCACCTCAATTTATACACAATTGAGGGATGATGTGATTGGTCACCACCTACCTGCTTCCATTAGCTTGTGGATAGAAGCCACCCCCACCATCTTAGTGGGTTGGAGTTGGTGAGCCACCCCCACTCTCTCCAAAGTGGATGCTCCATGATAATCCCACACATGGGTGATATCTAACAAATCACCCCCTCAACCCATGTGAGGTGATCCACTGCACACACTACTGCTATACTTGTCAAGCCCAAATTTCAACAGAATCTTCATCTCCTCACTAAGACGCTGCATCCCCTGAAGCTAACGATAATACACCAGAGATACAAGAGGAGAAGGGAATCCTACATCCTCAACTCAACACACACCACTCTCTGATTTGGAGAGAGCCTCTGCTCCTATCTCCCACAGATCTCTTCCACGCTTCTTGTCTCGAATGTCTTCACCTACTATGCTTGAACTTGTGTAACCAAGATATCCTGCACCCCCTGATTGGATATCCTGCACCCCCTGATTGAGATGCCTAGCACCCCCTGCCCGGGATGCCTTGCGTTCCTTTGAGTGCTCTGTGACACTACAGCTCTTTCCTGAAATGCCACTATCCTGCCATGTATCTCTTTGCACAGCCAAAACTGGAGCAACAAAAAACTCTTCATTTGTCTGGTCAACATTCCTTGTTTTCTTTGCTTGGAGTTTCCTCTAAACTATCCTGAACTTATCAACATTTGCCCTTTGCACTCCTGAACAACTTCCCAGCGTTTTCCGCACACTTGTTGTTCATGCCTTTTGCAATCCCTGATCTCTAGTTCAGCGATACGCATTACCTGCGTATCTTTCACTTGTACTACCAGATTGATGGTTGACAGTAGCTTTCTTTGCCAAAGCAACTTCAACAGATTTGTACAAGGAACCAACTATGCAACACCTAGCATAGTACCCGCACCCATACTCCTTGAGTGCTCATTGTGGCTCTATCTCTCCTCCTGCGCTCGAGCTCGCCTAAGAGATCCGCAACTACTCTGTTTCATTAAGAGGTGTGTTCGCTGCCATGGAATCAAAACCGATACCATAACCCAAGTATCCAACCATTCAGTCAAAACTGAATGCTATCTGTTGTACAAAACACAAGCGCTCTTCCAAAACACAGTAGATTCCATTGCTCAAAATCACATTGAGCCAATGTAAAAAACATGCAGAACCAATCGAGCTAGCTCTTTGATTTTCTGCAACTTAAGCTCTACCATAGTGCCAAGTTCCGATTTCCATAGGCAACAAACAAGTTGTCCTTGACAACTCCAAACAAAACATGGTGAGCAACCCGCTTGAACCAATGCTGAGGAGACTAAACAAGAGAGGCTTCAAATTCTCCGTCAAAGCAACTTCGAAAGCGGTGCCAAAAACATCATGTCCAATCAACCATCGAACACAATACTGCTCTCGTCAAGCTCGAATTAATCAAGAGAGCCAAACAAATTTTTCGAGAACTGAGGCAAGTTCTCCACCAAACAACACTGGATTGTGGATGCAGTCAGGCTCTAACCAGTTCGGAAGTATCAAAACAAACTTCAAACGAACTAACAAAATACCGAGAGCCAAAAAATTCTGAAGTGTCGAGCAAACTCCAGATTCCTCCAACTGCCATTCCAACCGGCAAACACAAGATGATGCACCATCTTCACAGCTGCCAAAAAATTGCCAAAAAAGGCACGTGCATCGTAAATGCACAACTCCAACAGTCCCTACTGACTCCACCGAGTCTGCAAACAATCTATCCCCTCAAAATCCAACGGCAGATTAAAAGATGGATCCTAACACATGAGATTCACAAAATCACCATCTTCACGTTTCTCCGCAACAATCTCTTCCAATCTTCAATGAACACCAACGGTCAGACCGCTTCCACAGAAGCAAACACCCAGAGTCTGAATCGTCACCCAGACTACAAATAGCTGATGCCTTTGAATATGGAACAGATTGCGAAAATAAAAATCCACAAGAAGAAGAAACAATCAAGTCTCACAAACAGGAGACACACCTGGATCTAATCAGACTTGCTCATAGATCCCAACTGTGATAATGAATTTTAATAAACCACGACTCTGAAAATCGCCAGTAATCCATGAAAGACCGCCAACAACAATGCCTCCAATAGACATTGAACAAAAACGCCAAAGCTCCACCAAGATCTGAAGTAAATTGTCACACCTTCTCCTTCAAATCGACAAATGCGGAAACCAAGGCTTCACCGAATGCGAGTCTTCCAATAACGATCCATGAAGGATCTTCAACGCCTCCACTGAGGCCAATGCCAATAAAGTACTACTATTTGCACTTATTACACATGCCAAATCTCCGCAGTACTCTGCCAATGCTAGTTCTCTCCATCCTCTAGAGAAAAACCCAATGAACTCTGAAGTTCTGTAACTAACCCAAGAGTCTCCAAATGAACTGATAACTTCTGCAACTGACTCTAAAAGGTCTTCAATTGGCTTTCAATTGGCTTCAATCGGGTGAACAAAATTTTTCAACCCTATCACCCACATGGATGATAAAACACCGTTGTACAAATATGCCTCCATTCCACCGAGCATCCAGAATGAATCTGCACCTCCTACTTGGAATGTCTTCAACCGCCACACATCATCCTGCATGGCTCGCACCTCTATCATCAGGAATACTTATAATTTCCTTGTTGAGGTGACTCCACCCAACCTCTCTAGGTGCTCGTCGCGACTTCACTGTCACAAACCAGATTCAAGACAAAGAAAAAGATTTGCCTCTCAGTGGGTGCGCACTGCAGTGTCTTATCCCTTTCAATTTCTCTGTCTGGAGCTTTCTTCTATGAACTAGTTGCTGCTGCTAGGCCAAAATCCAGTACACTGCACCTTTGTATGATTGCTGCGTACTCTTGCACTGTTGTACGCCTACACCCTGTATGACATTCATGCGTACTCATCTGTGCTATTGTGGCTACGTGCTCCTGCACCTTATGTGTGCACTACTGCAGCTGTTGCTGTTTAACATTCACATACTACCAGTACTTCTCGTATTATGTTTGACAGTAGCTCCAACTACCACAACATTTCCCTGAGCCTGCACTAGTTGCCAATCATCTGTCTCCCGATGAAATGGTCTTCTTCCGATTGAACCAGATCTCTCGATTGCCTAAACTCAACAATTAGGAAAGTTCCTAGGAAAGACTGGTGGGGTCACAACCAGCCCACTCAAGAACCAGTCTCCTTAAACAGTGTCTTTTTGACAGAACTTTCCTAAACATTGTTGATCTTGAGATAATCATGTGCAATTCTATTAATCGCCCTTGACCAATCTTGATCTCCCTCGATTCGCCATTTGATTAAGAATGATCTCCTTTGGTCTCCAATGATCTATCTCGATTTGTATCTTGTTGTCCAATCTAGTCAGAATCTGCCCATTCTAACCTCTTCATTGAATCCGTAGCGTTTCACAATATCCGGCAACCTTCCTTCAACTATTGAAGATGACAAACTTCCATGTTTTTGACAATCTTTAAAACCTGTTCAGAATTTCACTATTCTAACCTCACGGTTGCATCCGGAACGGTCCATTTAGCCAGGAACAACCTTTGTTGCACTTCCGGGGACTTCACTGAAACAATTTCCTCAAAACTGGGGCAAAATTGCAAATTTTCCAAACACTCGGGACCAAACTGTAATTTCACAAACTATAAGGGCCAAATTGCAATTTGCAGAAGTTCAAGGAATATTCTGTTCCAACAGAATATTCCATCCACTACACTTGACGCCATCTGCCACTTTGATCTTCTTTTTACAGAAAACTCCAATTCAAAAATCTGACCATACAGATGTGTCCGGAATACTCCAAATAGTTGGAAAGCACTATTGGATCAATAGAAACGGGCTCCGAATGACTCAGAACAAGCCAAAACAGTTTGGACACCTCAGATCTGCGGCTGCACCTTAGCCGCATAGCACTGGATCACTCCTCCTGCGGCTACACCTTAGTCGCGTTGTACTAGATTACTTCTCCTTGTGCTGACATGGCAAATGACGTGGCGATGACTGGCTACCACGTGGCGATGACTGGATTGCCACATGGCGATGACTGGCCTGATGACGTGGCAAACACGTGGCCGCCCCTGACTGACGTGGCGCCACGTGTCAATGACGTGGTGCTACGCGTCTCGTCTTCTTCCTCTGTCGCGCGTGTGGTGCGTGGACGAGATTGGAATGACACGCCGGTGCATCAAACGGCGCATGGTGGCCCGTGCTGAGTGTGAGACTCACGCGCTATATTCAAGAGGCGCGTGAGGGCGCGTCCGATGTCCTCTGGGGCTCTGCTTTGCATTTTTTGACTCCTCTCGTCGAGACCTTGCTCCTAGTATGCTCAAACTCTGATTTCGAGCAATTTGATTTCTAGACAGTTTCGAAAAACAATCTGTTTTTGTTCCGAAAACGACCGACGAGACTCTGATACCACTTGTTGGGGATCAGAGATCCCGCCCAAGGCCTCCCAAAAATTATACTAACCAGAAAAACACACACACAGAAGGAGACACCATATTTAACGTGGTTCGGCCTTGAAGCCTACGTCCACAGGAGAGTAACCGGTTATCACTATAACAATTGAGAGATTGCATAAAGATTACAATAGAGGAGGAGCTCATACTATCCAAGCTCACCTATTCACCCGTCTCCCTCGCTCACACCGAGAGAGACGGTCTCGCTACCTCACATCTCTGACTTTCTCTTTGGTTTGCTCTCTTAGTTCTCTCTATCCATCCCCTCCTCCTCACCTCAATTTATACACAATTGAGGGATGATGTGATTGGTCACCACCTACCTCCTTCTATTAACTTGTGGGTAGGAGCCACCCCCACCATCTTAGTGGGTTGGAGTTGGTGAGCCACCCCCACTATCTCCAAAGTGAATGCTCCATGATCATCCCACACATGGGTGATATCCAACACAAAGTACATAGGGAGGACAAGCAAAATCAGGAACAAGAATGGGCATTACATCCAAAACCTAGCATATACACATTCTTTTGAAAAAAATTAATCAATGCTGTGTTTTTTTTCTGCAAGGGTGATGTAACAAGTGGCAAATGTTAAATTGACATCTGATATTCGTATATGTTTCAGACTGTAAGGGGAAACCATAACAGCATAACTTATTATGAAACTCCTACTTCAAAGTCTGAATTCAGTCATAGGAACAAATCTGATTGGCAGATGCTGATATTTTTAAACCATTCTTAATTTAAAACCACATTGATACAAGCTGACTGTCAAACCCACATGCTAGAATGATCCGACTATGCATCAAGATTACCAAATTGTTTTATATAATAATCTGGTTTATTCAGTTCATTTAATTAATGTTGTTGCCTAATGCCTAGTGTTGTCAACAAATGAAAAGGCTCCATTAACAAAACAATCTTGTAAACAAAATCTAGCATTGATATATTTATCCATATGATTTGTTTGACTACATAACAGAATCCCCCAAGTGTCACAATCTATCAAAGGTTTCAATCTTTCAAAATGCTTATATGCAATCAAGACTCCATTTTACTTTTAAGCAACAAGAAAGACTAGATCAAATCCAAACTTCTATATAGAGATCTACAAACCCAAGCCTGTGTTCAAGAACAAAAACAACTAACTAATAGTAAACTAGTCTGAAATATCCACCACATCAAAAATTCCCAATAAATCTAATCAGAAAATAGCAAACCTCGTCTATCCAAAGACCAATAAATTTATATTATATCTGAAAAAAAGAAAAAAAAATAAGAAGAGCCTACCATCTCTATAGCACTAATCATATAATAAAATAAAATTAACAAGCAATCTATTAAACTAGTTTAATTCGAATCCCGTAAAGCGCTTGCTCAGTAATTACCTGAACTGGTCAGAACCCAAAATAATAACAATAAATTTCAAGCAAACTATTAAATGGGTATGCATAAATTTCAATTTTAGGCAAAGAAAATTAAGAACAATTCCATGTAACAATAACAACAAACAAACAATCAAATGGGTATGCAAAAAAATCAATTGTAGGCAAAGGAAACTATGAAGAACAACACTATGTAAACAATAAACAACAATCAAACACTTAAATGGGTATCCAAAAAATTCAAATCTAGACAAAGAAAGCCAGAAATTACCAGCCAATAAGGCAAGGACTGAACAGTTTGGCTAACAGCTAGCCAGAGGACTCCATAACCCAAAAACGAAGCAAAAGCTCCGATCAAAAGAACAATCCACGGGGAGTACTTGTTGCAGGCGATCCCAGGAAGGATTCCAACATTCTCACCAATATCGTTGGCGACTCCGAGCATTGTGAGCTGTTGTTGAGAGAAACCCAGAACAGATTTGAGAGAATGAGAGTAGAGAGGGAAGTTGTAGGCGTTGCCAGATGCAATTTGGAGCCAAACAGCAGCTCCAAGACCCACCCATGGAGGTCTGGACCCGCCTTTGAGGTGCACCATTGATGGGTCGTTGTTGAGCTTTCAAGAATCTCAGTTTTTGTACAGAGTGTTTGATGTGCATGTGGACAGAGAAGAGGAAAGTGAGGAGGAGTGGGGGAAACGTGGGGAGAAGTCCTGTTTTTTCTTTGTCGGAGAGTGTGTTGAGAATGCAAGGTTAGATTTGGGGCAAAACTATCTAGTGATTGTAACGTGGACCTTTGCTTGACATGTCAGCAATTATAATCTGGGCCAGGGTGCACCTTTTTTTTTTTTTTCTTTAGAAATTAAAAAAAAAATAACGATTTGAACTTTGTCATTAAAAAAAATTTAATTTTTTTAATTTGTCAATTTATACTATTTTTTTATTTTTTTAATATCATTTGCCTATTTTTATTAAATAAATTGTTAGAAAAAAGCTGTATTTTAATTCTTAAATGTAGATGTACTTCAATGATTAAAGAATCCGTTTTCATTAAGTTTAATATTAAAAAATTATTTTTTTAAGATAATTTTACTTAATAAAAATAGATAAATTATTTATATTAAAAATAAATTAAAACCATCTTATGCATTAATATTATATTGATGAATAGTATGAAATTAATAAGGTCAATTGAATGGTGGTGTAAAATTGATTTTGTGTCTCAAATAACCAATTAAGTGTCTGAGTTAATCTAACTTAAAATTATATATGGATCAATGATATTATACATTAATATTGCACTCAATATTGGGGGCAATTAAAAAATGAATAGAAGTGGGATCAAATAAGATTATTGACCATTGAATTTTGTGACACCATTTGTCAATTCTACAACGCGTGATTAGATTTGGATATAAAATTTTAGATACCATCTTGTCTAATTATGTAACTAGTGTATGGGATAAATTCTCTTTCATATACATGTATATTTTTTTTTTTGTGGGTCTTAATTTGGACTCACTTTGATAATTTGAACCACTTATTTTGTAGGTTTCATAGTAAAGGTTATTTGTACAAAAAATTAGATTTATCGAACAATTATAAACAAAAAAACAAATCTTGTTTTGTTTTACAAAATGAATAGTTTATTTTTACAATTATATTTTCTATTTATTTTATAAAACAAAATGTGATTTGTTCTTATGTTTCTAGATGTCCGATAAAATTGATTTTTTGCATGGATGACATTTATTGCAGGACCTACAAAGTTAACAGTTCGAATCATTGATGTGAATTTGAATTTGGGCCCACATGAGAAATATGGATAAGTATAGAGAGATGCAAGTATAGAGAGTTTATCCGTTAATATATTACTTTGAGGCATTAAAAGTGGAGCGAGCATTAAACCAAATAAATTAGGGGAGAATTACATTACAATGGGACAAAGGAAAAAATTACAAAAATATATAAGGTGCAAGTAATTCTGTGATAGGGTGCAAGTGAAAAACTATGACTTGCACCCTTCATGCTTGTGTAAAAAAAAAATTCCGCCATGTAATTCTCCCACAAATTAACACATCAAACTTTTTTTTTTTTTAAAATTGTGACATTAAACTTTGTTTGAAATAGAGTAATGTTGTACAAGTAAAAAAAATTTATAAAAAATTTATTTAAAATAAAGTGTCCTCTCATGATCCTTGTATTTTAATTTTTAAGTTAAAATAATAATTATTGTGATTTATAATTATAAAAATGTGATTAATATACCATTCTCAATGACTTTCATGCATAAGAATTAGGGTTAGTTACACGAATTCTTCTCAAAATATACATTTTGTAATACTTTAGTACCAACCCAATCTTTTAATTGTTCCATTTTGTTTTTCAAAATATATGTTACACTTTAGTCCTGAACATCAGCACTATCCAAAATCAGTAATGGAAGGAGGGAGTATTTTTGAAAAATTACAATAAAATTAAAAGATTGAGGATGGAATAGCGTGCATATTTTGAAAATTAAAAATAAAACAAAATGTATATTTTAGGAAGTAAAATGCTATAAAATACACACTTTGAAATCATATGTAAATTTAGTCATTCTAAAATATATCTTATCTTTGTGTTGATGTGAGTAATTAAAGTATAACTGATAGTATATTTTGAAAATAAAAAATAAAGAATCAAAATTTTGAAAAAATATATATTTTCTTTCAAAATTTAATACTGGCTTTATCTCTAACTTTGTGTGAAATCATTATGGGGTCCAAAGCAAAATTAGAAGTAGACGTCTCTATAGTTGCGCCAATTAAACAAATCACCCTCACACTTGTTTCTATATTCATGAGCCAAGTGTACACGGGTATAGGTTCCTCAATACTTTCATTTTTTTTATATTTCTTCATAAATTTTTTTGTGGATCACAATTTAAAGTCATGTCCATAATTCGAATCATTTATTTAGTAAATTTTATAATAAAAGTCATTTATATAAAAAATAAACTTCACTAAAAAACTATAAATACAATTAAGAACAAAAAATAATTTGTTTTATAAAATGAATAATTTAAATTCACAATTACAATTGTCATTCATTTTATTAAACAAGATGCAAATTTTTCGTAATTTCATATTTTTTTGATAAAACTCATTTTTTAATTTCATATTTTTTTGATAAAACTCATTTTTTACATTAATAGTCTTTATAACTTACGAGATAAACTATTTAAATTATCAATACACATCTGAATTGAGATCTAAATGTACCAAGGAGAGCTTATCCCATCCCATGCACACATGTCCAAACAATGAGAATTTATTGGATGGTTCAAGATCATATATAAGTTGGTGTTCCAATAATCAATTAATTGGTAAATAGTTTGACCAATGAATAATTATATCTTGATATGATCTTACCACCACAACCCTAACCAATGAAAATGAGCCAGAGCGGGCCTAGGACTGGGCATAGGGTGATTGTTGTGAGAGAAAAAGTGAAATGATTATGGGCTTTGATGTGATATTTTGTTTGGATTTTTTTTTTTTTTGGTTTTATAACCAATTTGTCTTTTAGTGAAAAAAAAATCAAAAAAAATCCTTCCTAAACACCCCCATAATATAATCGGAGGAGGATCCCCTCCGGTGCTATTTGGGTCCATAGGCCCATCACGGTCCTGTTTTGATAATCCAAATTGTTCATTTCACCGGACGCTTCGTGTTTTTCGTCCCAAAAAAAATAGATCGATCCGATAACTATAACTTGTTCAATTTATTATGTTTGCCACTAAAAAAAATATATGGTTTATTTTTAAAAACATAAGGTGGCTGTAGCCCTGCCCAAAATTTAAAAAATCTATAGAATTTTTTTTTCCCAGCCAAGCCCAACCCAGCCACCCAACCCCAAATAAGAGCCAATAGTTTTTTTTAGTTTTTAAGATAGACGGCCCCAATAGCAGCCCAATACTTACCCCAAAAAACAGATAGGCAGCCCAATAGGTTTGTATTTGTTTAAAGAACAAATCTTCTAAAACAATCATCACATCTTCCAATAGGTAGGTAGCAACCGTCTCTTTGTCGTCTCCAACAGCCAGCAGCAGCTCCACTTTTCTAGCATTTTTTGTAAGTGTAATTAACCAGTTTTTTATTTCGTTGGTTGAGAATGGATTTGATTAACAATCGTTTTGAAATTTTGTCTTTATGCAACAAATATTATGTTGCTCTTAGTTTTTTTATGATAATGCCTTGTTCAATTTTCTATATTGCTCTTAGTTTTTGAATTTTTAATGAGTTTTTTTTTGGACATATATGATATATAAAAATAATGAAAGCCTAAATAAAAATTATTGAGGATTTGTATAAAAACCCTAATATTTAAAATTATTGCGAATATACTTTGGTTAAATATTAAATAGTGCTAATTTTTTTTTAAAATTTTTTTAGGTTATAAATAATGGAACTTCCACTCAAAAAAAGAAAAATCATTTTCTCATTTTATCAATCAAAATAGAAGTCTAGTAGTACAACATCCAATATTGTTGAAATCTCATTTTCTGATGTGCAACCGCCTTCCATGCCTCAAGCAGATAAACCAAGCAAATTTGATTCAACTGTTATTGAAAATTGATTTAGATTCTGTAATCGATGAATTCGAATCTTTAAAGATTCAGCACAAATTAGTTAGGTTGTTTCTAATCAATAAATTTAAATATTAATCTAAATTATATTATTAAATTCTCTTTTTTTTAATATAATTATACTTAAAATATATTGTATAATTTTACTTTAATAATAACTCACCCTATTAACGAATCCCGGTCCGTCCTTGAAAATGAGTAAGAGCATCACGTGTACTCCTGGTGGACCAAATTATACTTTCTTCCAAAGAATGAACCAAACTCGACAGCTGCAACATAGTTAAGGGTATTTTGTTTTATCTTATTTTGTAAGGATATTTACTACTATATGACATGATATATGATATGGTGGGACAACCCTTGTACTTTTTGGTGTCCAATTTGCAACTTTATACGATGGGTGTTTAGGGTATCTTCTTGTTCTTCTTTAGTTTACTAGTATAAATATTAACATTAGATTATGTCATTTCATATTGGTACAACTGATTAAAGTCAAAATAATTATATTATAATTTGAATATGATTAGTTGATACAATCAGAGCCATTATCATTAGAGTAAATTACACTAATTTTTACAAAGAAATTTTATTATACATATCTCATAATATATGTATTTTTAATTATACTATTTTTTTATTTAGTTATGATTAATTTTCTTTTTTAATTATGATATTATTTTAAAATATTTGGTTATGACTTTTCTGTGGTTGGTTATAAATTTTTTTTTTTCAATCATGACTAAGAAAGTATGAAATTATGTCATTTTTTTTTTTTTGTAATTATAAGGTGCAGGTGTGTACCATAGTCTTTTTTTTTTTATAAAGTTTAAAAAATATATAGTGAGTCTTATAAGTATAATATAATTACATTGTGTTCACTTAAAATTGTAATATACAAGATGAATTACTGTAACAACCCCGACCCTTAATTAATGTTAATACATGCTTAAGTATGCCTAACAAGTGATTAAGAAGAAATAATGAGTTAATGACATGTGTATTGCATTATTAATGTGTCTCTATCTGTTTAGCAAAGAAAGATCTGTTTATGTTTTAGTTTCGATTTGCGAATTGAAGGCCTTACCGGCATCCGATACGAAAATTGATTTGAT